AGCAGCAATTCTACCTTTCAGTTGTAAGCTACTGAAAGGTAGAATTTGAGAAACCATTAGAGTAATTCTACTTTTCAGTTGCAAGCTACTGAAAAGTAGAATTTGAGACCCTTTTCGTTTTGTAGCTTGGCTCAAACGGTCCTCACCCCAAAGCTCCCGGCACGCTTGCACGTACTTCTGCTTGGCGTCCTGGGCCGGGTGCGAAACCAAGGCAAACTGCCGAAGAAGGAAAAGGAACAGAGGGCCTCCAGGCGAGAGCGTTTCTCAGCTTGCGGTTGGGCTTGAGTGGGCGATGGCCTCATTTAGTTGAGACCGCAAAATCGCGCGAGCAAAACTTGGTTCTCAGTTTTTAGTTGAGGGCCGGGCTCAGGAACTTCAGGGCGAGCAGCAGGTGCACTGTCTTCGGCAGCGCGCTTCCTGCGTGCGCTGCGTGGAGAAACAGTTTATTAAGTTTGCAAGGCCTTGGTTGCCCGTCTTCAGGATCGGGCATGCCAGCAGGTGGCTCCGGCACACTCTTCGGCGATGGGAGCAAGATCCTGGGCCAGGCATTCAGTTTTCTAGTATGCGCCTATTTTGAGTCTCACGCAAACGCTCACTAGCAAGCATAAGCAGGGGTCAAATGCTTCAGCTGGTCCAAGTGCGGGTGATAAGATGACCTGGGCTAGGTTAACCCAAACCGATTCAACAACTCAAGTTAACCCAGTGACAATGGCATATAGCAACCATGGCGCTGCGAACGGCCCCGGAGCGTTCTCGTGCGAGAGCAGCAGCGTTTCAACACGCTTGCCACTAGGGCCGCATCGGTCTCCTTCATGGAGCGCGCGGCTTGCAAAACCTGAGTGGCGCACCATATGCAAAGATGTGGACGTGCGAAGGCAGCAAGCGCGACCAAGCAACTGCAGCCTCAAAAACACTCGTGGCTGGTGTCTTGCAGACGCCAAACTCACCTGGGGCTCTGAAAGGCAAACGCAAAACGTGCGCGGGACCTGAGAAAAGGACGCAAAACTTCAAGGCAGCTATGCACGTGCGCGAAGCATGTCGTCTCAATGTAGTCCAAGGGGATTTGCGCGATTGGGTTGATGAACTTGCTGCACGCTTCAAAAACCGCTTCAGCACCTAGGCAAGCAAGCCCAAACACGCCCCAGCGCCCGTTCACTGCCACTATAAGCTTTCTAACCCCCACGCTAAGCGCGGAGCTGCTGGCCAAGCCGATAAGCGGGCTTATCGCGTGGCCCATAGCTTTGGCGACCTGAACGGCGCAAAACAAGCAAACAACCTTTGAAAACAGGAGCCACGGCCTCAGTCATATCGATATCAGAGCAGTCCTGCGCGCAAATTGAAGAGATGGAAGCAACAAACAATCCGACCTAGAACCAGTCCTCAGCAGAGCCACAAGTTGACTCAGCCATGATGCGCCGCTAGCCTTGCCTGGCTATAAGCTGGGAAAGCCTCAAAATATGTAGACTACATCTGCAAATCTAAAGCCTTTGTATTCCCTTTTTACGTATGAACCTAAATGTACTGTTTTGGTGCTGCTTGGTGCGCTGGCTGTTGTTGAGAGACTGCCTGAGCTGTAGCTATTCTAGTTGCTGTTCTCTCTGCTTTCCTGCGTGTTATGTTAGTTTCCCAGCGATCCAGGTCGGCAAGGGCCCGGAGGTAGAGGCTGGGCGGCGGGCTGTTGCCGTTGCCAGGCTGCGGACTGTTGCACGGCCTTTGAGGCCGGTGGCAGCTGAGACACTGCGACCCTGCCAGGCACTAATGCGCCTGGAGGAAGGGCCCAACTGCTGCTGCTGCTGCTGCTGGCTGATGCCCCGCTTTTGGAGGTGACCTGGAGCTCTTCTTGCAGTTCGCGGACCCTGTTGTTCCTCCTTGTGGTGTCGGTGGCGAGCTGAGCCAGCGCCTTGTACCTCGCGTCCTGGTAGTGCTGGCTGGCGAGTAGCTCCTGTTCCGCGTAGAACTCCTGGAACTTTTTCGCGTCCTCTATGTAGTTGTTTGTGCTAGCTATGAAGGTTTGGAGCTCAGCAGGGTCCAATTTCACCTTTCGGCGCTTATACGTTCGCGTTACCAGCTTTTCCTCCTCCGGTTTTTCCTCCTCCGGTTTTTCCTCCTCCCCCTCCTTTCCTTGCGCGCGCTCCTCTAGGCGTTCCTCCTGCTGCTGCGAAGTGGTCGGCCTGTGCATGCCCGGTTGCAAAAAAAAGCAAAAACTATATTTAGTGCATGAGTATTGTGTTCCAAAGTGTGCATTGAGCCAACGGAAGCGGCGCCAGCGTGCGCCTCTGATGCACATGCGCTTGCAGCAATGTCTGCACAAATGCATGCTGCAGGGGGCACTTATCAGCTTCAGCCGCTTCGTGGCACCGACATGGCGCCCCATGCGCGGCCGCACGGATATATTAATCCAATTCGTGGAATTCAATATGCATATATGTGCATATTCTATCGTTGAATAGGTTGCAATTCAACGATAGAATTGGCACCTTAGAGTAACAAAAACTGATGTCTGCCATAAATGCGAGGAAGCTGCTGCATGCACGCATGCAGGTGTGACGTGCATGCGTGCGTGTGTTGCGCACGCGGTTTGTGCGTGCGCATGAGTGCTGTGTATTTTCGCGTGTTTCGTGATGTGTGTGTCTGCTCTCGTTCGCGCGTTCTATCCTCGGCTTGAACCATGCTTCACTCTGCGCAGCGTTTTTGCGCCCGGGCCCATATCACGCCAAAAAGTTTGTCATTGACATGTTTTCGAGCTCTAAATGGGTCATTGTCAAATTTCTGCCCTTAAAACACAACAATGTCAAATAAACGGCAAACGTCAAGAAAAAAGATTGCAATCTGACTCTCCAGGTTTGTTGATCTGAAACTTGGCGTCGTTGTTCGCGACGATGACTGGCGCCTGCTTGAACTTGGCTTCCTGGAGCCGCGGGTCGCTGTGGCCCGCGACGACTCGTCGTCGAGACGCCCGTTCTTCGTCGGACAGGGCGCAGCCTTCCACCGGGAGCCCATGGAGATATTTCCAGTTGCGCTCCGAGAGGTGCCCGGCTCGTAGCTCGTCCACAACTGCATTCCACCAGCCGTCCTTGCATCTCTCCCGCTCCTCCAACTCGGTGACGCCTTGGACGGCGCCGCCCCAGAACAGCTCCCTGCCATAGTCCGCCAAGGGGTCCGGGGCCGTCAAGTCGTCGGGCGCTCGCGGGCGCCGATTGTAGGGGACGTCGCCCAAGTACGCCCCGCTAGGCGGAGGCAGTTGATAGAAATCCCCGGTGAAGAGCACGTTGATGCCCGCGAAGGGTCGGGAGGAGTTAATCACGGGGTCGAGCTTCCAAGCCGCCGCGTCTGGCACCGCGCTGCGCAGGCGCTGATCCACTTGCGCCAGGAGCCGGGCGTTCACCATGCTGACTTCGTCGATGATGAGCCAGCGCCAGAGCCCCATCCGCTTGGCCACCTCCTTGCTGACGGCGCGGTCGACGGCCTTCCAGTCGGCGCTCAAACCACAGACGTTGTGGATCGTCTTGCCCTTGATGTCCGCGGCGTTCACAGCCTGGAAGGCGGCGACCTCGTAGTCGATGCCTTGGACGTAGCCGAGCTGCTCTTCGAAGAGTTCCCTCAAGTACTTCAGGACGTGATAATAGCCACACCAAGGGCTCGCCGCTTTGGCGACTCGACTCTTCCGGCGCGAGCAGGCCACACTCGATCAGAACCCGCTCCACGACTAGCGCCAAGATTTCTTGCTGCTTGGCGTTTAGGTTGGGCCGCTTGGCTTCCAGCCACCCGAGCAGGCCGGCCTTTGTCACGAGCGGGCGGACCGCGCTCACTCCGGGGCCCTCCTTTGCATTGGCGCCTCCTTTGCTGGCTTTCTCCCCTTGGCGTGGGAGGCCTTGGCCGCTTCCTCGAGCTCGTCGTGGTCTTCCACGGCCTGCTTGGCCGCCATATCGGCATAGTGTTGGGCGAAGCTTGGGTCGCCCTCGCCGGACGCGGCCGCCCCGCCAGACTTCCTTGGACAGCTGGAACATCTGCTCCGCGCGGGCGATCCGCTGCGCCTTGGCGGTCGCGTCTTCTGGCGTCTCTGCCTCGGCGTCTTCTTCCTCTTCTCCCCCAGCTTCGCCCGGCTGCGCGGCGCCTTTGATGCGCGTGGCCTGCGCCGCCAGGAGGTCTTCCTCCTCCAGCTCCATCGGCTCGTCTTCGAACTCGTTGTCGCTGTTTTCCTGCGGCGCGCGCCCTCTTGCTTTTATTTTTTAGACGCTGAAACATTTGACTCATCCAACATCCAGTGCGACGCTCGACCCGAACATTCGACGAGCCACGCCTCCAGCTTGTCGCTCGGCTGAAGTTCTCGCGGCAGGCCGTAGACGAAGCAGAAGTTTTGAGCAAACTGCTTGACCTCCTCGGTCGGGAACCCGTCTCGCAGCAGGCGGAATCGCAGCGCGTGTCTCCAGGTCTTGACGCCCGGGGCCTTGAAGCTGCTCAAATAGGGCACGCGAGAGGTAGCTTCTGAAGGATCGTTTGTCCATGGAAAGAACAGCAGGAGCACCTTCTTGGCAGTATCCTCGTCGCAGCGGCTGCCTAAGGCGCCTTGAACCACAGGGACGTTGGGCCGGCGCCGTAGGACTGCTACCCAATCGTGCCTGCGGGGCAAACGCGGTCGCTTTGTTTCGAGATCGATGAACAAAAAAATCTTAAGTTGTCCGCGCCTGAAGGTTTGCCCCAGAGCGCCGTCGCTCAGCGCGACCCAGTCTTCGCCGCCGAGATCCTTGACGCGATAGTGCGTCCCGGGCAGTAGCGCGGCGCGGCGGAGACGCGCCAATATCTTCTGGCCCTCGTCTTATAAGTAAGCGTGGAACTCGGCTCCGCAATTGCGCCCCTCGTCGCCCTCCTCCTCTTCCTCTTCGCCTTCGCAGCCTAAGTCCGCGACCTTGCGAGGATGTCTGGCTACGGCGCACTGGAAGCGGCGAGCAAATTCGAAGGCAGATAATTCGAAGACTCGAGGATCTTTTCCGCGCGATCCGTAGAAGGTCCAAAAGGCCGGCCTGGAGACAGTCTGACGCAGCCCAAAGTCGCGCTTATCCGGCTGCTGGCGCCGCGGCTCCACGGGCCACGGCTCACCGGTTTCCGCGGCTTCCATCAGCCGCAATCCAAACGACAGCGAAATATCCGTCACGGGGGCCGTCTTAATCGTTTCCGCAGAGGTCGGGTCGTTCTTGCCAGAGTTGACGATCAGGTTGCAGCATTCCACGGCGCCGCGGCAGACCCCCCTGCAGGGACCGAACCGAGGGAGCGGTCGATTTTACGAAAGAACCAGCCAAGACGACGCGCGCAAACTAGCGTGCCTGGAGTAAATATCCGTGATTAGCCTCTTGTTGCTTCGAGCCGCGAGGTAGCCGACCGGCTTGTCTTCCAGATCCGCCGCTAAGTCCCGCTGCCCCCGCTGCCACTCTTGGATCTCGGCCCGGGCGATCGCCAGTCGCTTGTTCATGTAGTCGCAGGCATATCCAGCTTGCGCCGCCTGCGCGATAAGGATTTGTTCTAAATTGACTCAGGCGTTTTCTTTTTCAACTTTTTCGACTCTATCAACGACTCAACGATAAGAGCGACACTCGCTCGGTCCTGCGTCAGCTGCGCCTCTCTGATCAGCAAGCGAATGGCTTGCCTGCCCGCGCAGTTCTCCTCGCAAAGCGAGTCGCTGTGCGTCTCGGTAGTGATCGGGAAACGGTAGGGTAGCTGCAGGTCTCCGTTGCATCTCAGCGCCGCGAGGAACGCGGGGTGGTTCCCGTTGAGGTTCGGCTTGTTGACCGGGCCCCAGCAGACCCCGAGCAAGCTCCGCTTGCCTTTGACAGGTAGCTCAAATTTCTGGCCGAGACCGGGGCACACCAAGACTGTCCTATTCACTGCATTTGGACGGGTCCCGGGCGTCCTGGCAGTGGGCCAAGGGCTGTCGCTGCCCGTCTGGGCCGGGCAGGTGGACGTGATGCTGCTTGCGCTGCTGTAGCTCCTCTACAACCACCTCCAGGAAACGGGCTTTCCAGTCGGCCGGGCTCATCGAAGCGTCGGTCTGATACGCCGGCCGGCTCAGCATCAAACTGCTATCTTTATATTCCGGCCAATCGGCTTCCACGGTCTCGCGCAGCCCTTCTTGCCATAGGTCAGGTCGACAATAGACGCTGCGCCTGTAGCGGAAGGGAACTAGACAAGACCCGCGCGCCCCTCCCCTCCCGAGCGACGACGAACCCGGCCTCACATGGGCAGAGTAGCTCGCGTACTTCTGGAACAGTCGTCTCACGCCGCCCTCTTCTTCCAGCTTCATCAGTTGCGACAGGGGCGTATGTTGGTGGAAGCACTGCACCAAGACTTGGAAGTGGCCATGTAGGGAGCCGGCCTTTTGACACTCGATCGAGCCGTACACGGCGTCGACCCGACCCAGCACGCCGCCCGTCGCCGTAGCGATGCTGCCAAACGCGTCAGCGCAGGGCGAGTCGGAAGCCGCGCAGTCTGGACAGCGCGGGCAGAACCGGACTCCAAGGAGGTGCCGCAGCGCCAGAAGCACCAGAACTCTGAAGCCTTCTGCGCAGGCCAGTGGATCTCGGGCCAGGAGCGTCTTGCGTTTGTCGTAGTCGGGAAGCTCCTCCAAGCGCCTCGGGCGAGAGTCTACAGAACTCCTCGTCTAGCTTGGGCGAGCTCCGAGATTGGAAGCTTCTGTCTCTGTCGCTTTGCAAGGAGGGGTCGCTTTGCCGGACCCGGGCCAGGCGGAGCATCAGCGCGGTATCGCGCTCCGAGGGGAGAACGTTAGGAAGACGGAGAGCCCGTAACAGACGCGGTTGGCATGTGTTTGCAAACGCATAGTAGTCCGCACCTCTTGGGTGCCAGGGATCCTCCGCGTCCTGGCCTCCAAGTTGTCGAGCACTTTCACTGCTTCGCGCGAGAGACTGGGCACGCAGTAGCGCGTTTTGGCCAAGTCGCCCTTGACGGCCTTCAGCTCGCCGGAGACATCCGCGTATTTGCTGTCCAGCGCCCGCAGCAGGTCACTCGCGCCTTTGAGGACTTCCTTGCCAGTCATCGGTCGGCGCCTTTCAGGATTTGACTCGTCTGGGATCGAGTGCATGTAGACGTTTTTCTGTAGGTTGACTGCTGTTCGGAAGAGGTAGTTCCATATGGAGTAGCCGAAGTTCCAGTCCCGGCGAAACTGGGACTCCACACGGCGCTGCATAGCCGCGGCCCACGCGTGGATATCGACCTACGCCGACAGCTCTCTAAAGGGTCGAACCGAATTAAAAGAACGCACGAAGCGAAACGTAGAATCAAGACCCCGCCTGCGGAGCCCCAGGCGCCCGTCGACTGTCGCGAGCCTCCCCCTTCACCTCATTCTTCACGTCGGGGCGGGCTGTCCCGAACTTCAAGCAGAAGCAGAACGCCACCGCGAAATAAAGAGGCTGAAATTGGTCCACCAACTGGTTGCCCGTTCTCACCTCCAAGGACCGCAGCGCTTTCTCTGCGTCCGAAGTCAGCTCGTCTTGTAGCCGCCGCATCGCGGCGATCTGCGTCTGGTTGAGATCCAGCGCTTGCTCGCCTTCTGCCACGACCCCCCGCGGCCGCTGGGCGGCGAAGATTCTTCCCGCCTCAACCGCGTCACTGCGGCCATCCACTGGGGTCGCCGCCTTCTGCGGCAGCAGCTTGTCGTTGATCTTCTCCGAGCCATCCAGCAGAGTGACCACGCGTAAGACTTCTGGCAGCACCCCGTCCTCAGGCAAGACCGCCGCCCGGGCCCGGACGGCGTCCTCATCGGCTCCAATGAAAGACGGGTGGCCCAGGCGCTTCATGTCCAGGATGAGGTTGACCGCTACCTCTCTTCTGACGTTGGCCTGGTGGATCAAGGTCTTAATTTCCGCCTCTGAGGTTTGGCCGTGTTGGTTGGTCTTCAAGAGCACGCGGACCACCTCACTCAGCTGCACTCCAGCTCGCGGCAATGCCGCCGCCTCTTCTCCCACGCTCTGGAGCTCGCGCATCAAGTCTTCCCAAGGCAGTGGAAAAGTGAGCGGATTGCCGCGGAAGCCGTAGCGGTGTCTGGCCATGTGGGCCGTCTCGTCGAAGGGCGCCGAGGCGTGCCTGTGACGAGCCTCCATGGACATGCAGACCATGGTGGTCACACACGGAGAGGCGCAGATCAGCTCCAGCACGGTCATCTTTTCTTCGAAGATTCTCTCAAAAAAGTAGCCGACCCACATATCATTGGCAAGGCTCACAGGCGGCATCTTCTTCTTCTTGAGGCTCTCGAAGCAGGCCCGACACACCGGCGTCTCGCACTCCTCGCACAGGACGCCCGCGGCGCCGACGTGGGTCGGATCCGCGCCGCAGCGGCGGTCTTCCGGGCAGCATAGGATTTCTGCGCCGCCGGGGCCGGGCAACTTCAACTTCCAGTTCTCAAAGCTTTCCTTGGTCGACATCCTCGCAGCTCTTTCTGAGTGTAGCTTGTCGTACTTGTCGAGAAAGGCGTTCAGGCCGAGGATCTCGACCACGCGAGGCGCTGGCTGGCCGAAGAGCCGCCACTCGCCCTCCTCCTCCCCGCCGCAGCGGCTTAGAATCCGGCGCCATTGAATTTCATTCTGCTCCTCAAGCTCGGCCACGCGGCTGTAGATGCAGGCGCAGGACACGCAGATCAGCGCCTCGACCTTGTCCCCTTCCACGGCCGCGGCAAAGGACCGCAAGGCCGTCCTGTCTAAAGAACAGCCTGCCAGGGGCGCGCCTTGCCGGCAGCGCCGGGCGAGGGCCTCGTTGTAAATCGACATCGGGTTTTCGGAAATGGCTCGGTTATAGATCGAATATTGTGGAGGCGGCCATTAAGCCTCGCTTTCGTCAGCGCCTTGTCGCGCGGTCGGGTTGCGATTTGAACCTCGTCTCCGGATATCCGTCGCGACATTTACGCGCGCGGCCCGCTATGTAATACGCGACGCGTCCTAATTGTTTTTGTATGTTTGAGATTTTTGAGATATGAGTGCATAGTTGCGCGCGCGTTTGTGTGATTGACTTAGACACGCGTCGATCGCGCGCAAAAAAAAGATAACGACGCGCGTGTGCGTGTGTATATATATATATAAAATATAAATTAACAAATGTATATATATATATATATATGGTCACCCCCCCCCCCCCCAAGGCCTACCTTTGCCTTCTTCTAGTTGAAGGTGCCAACTCTGCTACGTGTGCCCCTTTCTTGCAAATGCCTGAAAACACTGTAAAATACAGTGTTTTTGTTGGTTTTTAGGTTCTATATGACAGCAGATGTCTGGTTCTTTGAGGCTTGAAAGGCAGCAAAGCGAAAACGGATTCCGTTTTCGGATTCAAGTCTGGCTTTGTTGGAAAACACTGGTTTTTACAGCGGTTTTGAGCACGCTAGGGAAAAAAACATTGAAAACATGTCGTTTTTGGCAGCGTTGAGCTCTGTAACCTGCACAGACCCAAAAGCATAAAATCTCCTGAAAATGAAAGCTCTGAGACCTGCACATGCCAAACATCTCCAGACCAAGTTTGGGAGTCTGGGGATATGTGCCCTTTTTTTGTTTAGCCACATTTAAGCTAAATCATATTTGGGAATGAGTTACTATTAAAATTTGTTTGCAAAGGCCAAGTGATTTATTTGCAGAATAAGCTATATTCCAATTCAAGTTGTATTTGGGGATGGATTCTTGATTAAATTATTATGTTCAAAAGCTAATTGAATTTGTCTGCATTAAAGTATATTTGGATTCTACCGCAATGATATTTTCCTTATTTGGAGAGGTATTCCTGCTCAAATTCTGATCTGATATAGACATTATGGCGAATGATGAATGGTGGTGAACTATGTGCTTACTAAATTCTATTCAATACGCAAATTCAATTCGGATCAAAATCGTATTTGGAAAGGAATGTGTACTTGGATATGTTGGACTCCAGGCTCCAAATTATGAGGCTTGGAGAATCCAACATTAGACATTTCGAGGGTTCGGCAGAAAGTGTTTTCCTTTTTTACTGCGCCGCCTCAATTTTACTGTGTGAGAATGTTGCTGACATTATCTGGATGCCGCGAACAGTTGTCGCTCAGGGGTTTGCTGCTGCCGTTTCTTTGACGTGTTTACAGACTCAGTGGCGTCTTGAGCGTTGGTTGCGACTGCGCGCGCGCAATCGCGCATCCACACGCGCGCGCACAGTCAAGAAAAAAAAGGAAATAAAGAGAAAAGAGAACCAAGAAGGAAAAAGAAAGAAAGAGCGAAAGCCGCGGTAAAACAGCGTGAACGAGTTCGAAGACGACCCGATGGAGCTCGAGGAAGAAGACCTCATGGCGGCGCAAGCCACGCGCATTAAAGGCGCCGCGCAGCCAGGCGAAGCTGGGGAAGAAGAGGAAGAAGAGGCCGAGGCAGAGACGCCAGAGGACGCGACCGCCAAGGCGCAGCGAATCGCCCGCGCAGAACAGATGTCCCAGCTGTCTAAAGAAGTCTGGGGCGGGTCGGCCGCGTCCCGCGAGGGCGACCCGAACTTCGCCCAACATTACGCCGACATGGCGGCCAAGCCGGCCGTGGAAGACCACGACGAGCTAGAGGAGGCGGCCAAGGCCTCCCGTGCCAAGGGGGAGAAAGCCAGCAAGGGAGGCGCCAATGCAAAAGGAGGGCCCGGGAGTGAGCGCGGTCCGCCCGCTTGTGACAAAGGCAGGCCAGCTCGGGTGGCTGGAAGCCAAGCGGCCCAACCTGAACGCCAAGCAACAAGAAGTCCTGGCGCGAGTCGTGGAGCGGGCGGCCTGGCCAGCGGGAGGTCATGCTTTTCGTGACAAAAGCTTTTCTTCGGCTTCGCGATTTTCAGCGCATTTGCAGCTGGAGGCTTGAGAATTTCCAGGCCCTCTTGGGCCTTTCCAGGACTTTTCCAGGCCCTCCAGACAGGATCAACAGGCATAGGCGAGGGTGGATTGTTTTTGGCCAACTGGTTGACAACCGGCCTGCCTGGGCTGGGCTGGGCTGGGCCTTGCTTGGGTGGGTCTTCTGTTTAGGCTGGGCCTGAGGATCGTCAAACAGGCCTGGGCCCTCTCACAGGACAGGATCGCCTTCCCGGGACATAGCTAAGCCTTGGAAGGCAGCCAAATGGCCAGATCTCTAGATTTGGAGCAGAGCTGGCTAGTTTTACATGATCCCACACAAAGAATTTATCAGCGACCGGGCCAAGCCCAAATCCTGATTTTTTTAAAAAGAAAACAGAATCACCTTCCCGGGACAGAGCTGAGCCTTGGAGGGCAGCAGTGCTGGCTAGTTCTATATGATCCCGCGCAAAGAATTTATCAGCGGCCGGGTCAAGCACGGGGCAGCGCATAGCTCGTTGGAGGCCAACACGACGACGTTTCCGACCTCGAGTTTGCGGCGTTGATCAATTTGGGGCGAGGTCAGTTTAAGCGTTTAGAACGTTCGATGCTCCATCAATGAAAAGTTTAAGCCTCAGTCTCGCCCGATTCAATGGACAGTTTAAATCTATCATCTCGAGCTTGAAACGTTGGTCTAGTCTAAATTGAGGCAAGTTTAAACTTTGTAACTCACATATCTCGATAGACGGCTTAATTGAGCATGCTTGACCGGTCTGTCAACACTAAGATCGACGCACAACCTTACACCTGTGTTGGCGCATATGGCGGCAGCCACTAAAAGTTTAGGGTTTAGGGTTTAGGGTCCGCCAACACAGTGTGGTGGCGCCCTAGGCAAATGTCGAGAACGAGTAGCGGAGACCTCAAAGCTTCGAAAGTTTTTCTATATAGGGGAATCCCTGCACTGTAATCCGAAAAGGTCGAGCTAAATCACCCCTAAACTTGATTGAGTAAGCACGTCGAGTGAGAGACCGAGCACGACGTTCTAAACAGGTCGATCGCAGTTCGACAAAACGTTCTGAGCGTGAGCGAAAAGACATAACTCGACTAAGATGCTCGACCAAACGAGCAAGAGTTATGAACCACTTCAAGCTTGATCTATGCAAGATTGAAATTGAACTCGATCAGATCAACCAAGTTGAACAACTCGAGCGTTTAAAAGGGAGATCGAACAAGATCATGCTCGCCTAACGAACGCGAAAGACAAGTGCGAAACATCCCCCCCAAAAAAAAAAATAATTAAAAAAGAAAAAAAAAAAAAAAGATGAGCTCGATCGACTTCGCGATAATTTAGATTAACATTTTAGCTTCAGATAAACCAACCTGAGCGAATGTAGACCGAACAAAACATGCTCGGAGCGCGGATATGAAAAGGCTAAGAGAAACGACCAAAATAGTCATTTTCGTTGACCAAAGGACTCGACGCGACTTAGCGAGGCCTTTAAACGCAAGCAAAAAATGGCTCAAGCTGGATTGAGATAATTGCTCAGGCAAAGGCTTATGCAAACGCGTAGCCGAAAATCAGCAAAATTCCGAGACGTAGTCACTCTCGACAACTCAAACCGAGACCAGAGCTCACAATGTTAGGTTCGAATATCGTGCCCAGTTAGTTCTAGAAGCTTCACGGAAATGGGGAAGACCTAAGCCCCAGAACTATCGAACATCACCGACTCGCGCCTCGCGGCCATGGCAACGCGGAGCACTCCGGCGCTCGTTTGCTTGCCCGCGGCGGCCCTCGCGCGCGCGTCTCCGACTAGACCTGAGTCCCGCGACTGCAAGACAATAAACACGCGAGCGAAGCGCGAATCATGTCCCCCGCCTCGGCAAAGCGGACTGCTCTAAAGGCCTCGGCCCGTCAGGACAAGAGCGTCATCGCAACGCTAGCGCGCTCCCCGCGCCATGGCGACATCTCGAAAACATAGCGCGGGCCCAACGCGGCCCCACGCATTTTGAAGCTGATGAGCTAGCAGGTCAAAGAGCCGCGCAATGCTGGGAATGTCGCATTCAAAGTGCTGCGCCGCGCGCCAACAAGGCAAGACCCAATCGCGCATTTGCTTTTTGCCGCCTTCATTTAAAATCGCTCTCCAAGATCTACCCTAGCGGCAATTCGGGCAGAATCGTTTGCGGATCTGTTCTTCCGCCGAATTCTCGCTCCATTTCCTCTTGCATCTGAGACAAGTACGTTTGCCCCGTTTGCGATCTGCCGCGCAGTTGGGGCAGCGTTTGTTGATGTAGACGGCAGAAGACGTGGGCAGAAAAGCCGCGCAGCCTCGGCACTTCTCCCATCCGGCCCGGAGCCGACGAGCCTTGCCGCGCACCGCGTCCTGGCAACTTTGACACGCGGCCGCCCACGGCAGCGTCAACGCAGATAGGTGGAACTCCTTCAGCGGCTTCACCTCTGCGCATTGCGAGCAAGTCAACTCCGAGACGTTCTTCAAACACGCGATGCAATTTCGCCTTTCTTCTGCACGAGGCTGCCGAAGTTGAGCTCGGGGAAACGCGTGCTCCACTTTCTCGAAGCCGCAGCAAATGCAGCGCAGCCGCTCAACAGTGGAAGGCAGTTTGCGCTTGCAGGCGCCTCCATCCTTATGAATGCAAGTCAGACAAGTGGCAGGCAGGTTGGCTCTGGCTTTGTCCCACTGGGCGTCCGCGAAGTAGTCGAATGGCTTAACCACTTTGCATTGTTGGCACGGCGCGCTGGGCGCGCGGGCCTCGCGGTAGTTGACCCAATCAATCTTTTCACCTCGGAGAGTCTTCAGCAGCACCTCTGGCCCCTCTGGCGCACCCCGCTGGAAGAGCCAGAGCGGGAACGGCCGCAAAATGAGGATATCTTCACGGCTCCTGCGAGCAACAGACGCGACGAATCTGAGTCGACCGCCGAGCGCGCAAAAGTTTTTACTCCGCTCC